CCCCAAAACCCCAAAACCCCAAAACCCCTTTTAGATCAACCCATATTGAAACATGAATGGATGGAGTAATTTCGTATCTAGAAAGGTAATCCAGGCAGCTCACTAGCCTTAGGAGCTGCCTTAAATGAAGACATACAGAAGTTCGACCTGTATTTCTTCGTAGAACCAAGTAGAGCAGTACTAGCTTTCTTCACTGAGCTAGAAGGCATCTCAAAGATCGGATCTAGACTTTGATCAGCATCTATTTCGATAGCCTTAATAACTGGTGACCCGTGTAAAGAATTTTGACCACTCGTAGAAGAAGCCTGAGTTCTTTTCTCAAAATTACTTTGCTTGGCTTTCAAAGGGGCTTTGAGGTCCTGGATCGAGGAACATTGCTTCATGTCTTTATTCTAAATCATTATTTTGATCAAATATATTTGACATTATTTCAGAATACTAAAATAATTTTATTGAGCCACCTGGGAAAAATATGTATGAGGTACCATTAAAATTACTATGAAAATTCTGAGTAAGGCATAATCATCCTAACATTGCAGCTCTTCATCCTATCCTTTTCAAACAATTTTTTGCTGGAAAATGATCATTTTAAACATAACTTAATTTCTCTATGGGACTAACTAGCTTCTAAATATGACAAAGCTTTTAATGCTCTTATGAGTCAGGTAATCTATATTTTCCTAAAACTTTAATCTTCTTCATCTACAAAATAAGTCTCTTCGTCCTTAATCTCCTTATCTAACCCAATTCCAAGTGGTCTCAATCAAATCTTAAAATTCCCAAACAGAATATCCAAACCCATCGAACAAGCTCTACAATAATACTTGGATCATGAAGGAGTTGCATTTCCTTCTTAGTCGCTTTCATACTAATCAGCTTGTTCTTCTGCTTAGTGCTTTTCAAGTTGGATCTAAAGGTGAGCTAATTTCCCTACAGATCTTGATAAGTCCGTCTCTGTGCTTTCATATTCATCAAATTGCTGTTTGTCTCTTTCTACACTTAATTAGACCAATTCAAACTAAATGTTCAATGAAGAGGTTTAAACAGGGAAGGGCTCTATTCTGCGAGAAATCTGGTGGCGTTCAGTTAGGTGTAAAAGAGAAATCTAAAGAGCTTCTTGAGGGTTTATGAGAACAATAATCAAAGAGAAAGTTAATATTTCTGTGAAAGAAGCTCTGTTCTATTACACCTTTGAAATCTAACTTTGAATAAAAATCAACCTAAAGGTCACCAACTGAGCTTGAGTTGCTCTAGATATGCTCACATCCTATCAAACTGGTTATTCTCCCATCTGCTTTACTAATATACATGCATGGAGTAGTTCTACAAGTGGCTTACCTAATCTGTTGTATTTCTTTCTGAAGGTAAGTGAACCCCTTAAAGAATATTTATTATTTATAATTTCTTCTGAAAATTAAATAAACTTCATTACTTCACCCAATTAGAGGGGTTTTGGGGTTTTGGGGTTTTGGGGTTTTGGGGTTTTGGGG